ACCACCCAACCCTTCTCTTATGTACCTCCCTAACTTGCTTCTGCAGGCTGCTGAGTTTGCGACCCCTGGTTTGAAGTAGCACATATCTAGAAAATGTGTTTCCTAACCCAGACCTCTCTCGCACCCTCATGTGATTTCCACCCCATCTCCCCTTCTGCCCAGCTCTTCGTTTCACGTCCATCTTAAGTCCTCCTTCCTGAAATCTTCGGATTTCTCTTGGTTTGCTCACATTTTCCCTTTTAGCTTCAGTTTCATTTTGCAAAAACACAGTCTCCTCCTCTCAGCCCACGAGCATTCCGGGATGACTCCCAAGACTGGTCAGTGGGAGTTACTGAAGGGTGTCTTTAGGCAAAATGGCTGAGTCATCTCTCCAAACACTTTCTTCGGACACTGGCTGGACAGTTAATCTTTTTTTAAAAGCACGAACAATTCTGAGCTTTCTTGTATGAGAATATTTGCAGTATATGAATCTCCAGTACCAAGTATACACCAAAAATGTATATATTTCAGATCAAGGACATGATGGAGCCCTAATAAAATACAGAATTGAGCTTAATTTAAGTGCCTTGGGCAACCATCACACCTGACTAATATGGCATATTATTTTATTTGTACACAGTACATGTTTTGGATTACTAAACATTGATCAAAATTGATCGAAATCTCTACGTTTTTGGTTACCATGTACAGAGAACAATTGCTCAGCATGGCATTTAAATAAAACATTAATATTTTAAAAATTCACAAACACAATGCCCCATTAATTAAAAAAAATAAAATTTAAAAACCTTGAGGATGGATGAGGCTTTGGGTAATTAACCTGAAAAAAAAAAAAACAAAAACCCACAAAGAAACTACAAGAACTGTATGTTACCAGATTCAAACTTCAAAATGCTATTCAGATAAAAGAGGAACCTATCAACTCAGCTAGAAATATTTGGAAAATTCAGCTTTTAAAGCTTTATAATCCCTCTAATAGCCTCGCTTTCCCCCACTCCAACTACAGGGGAAGTTGTGGCTGAGTATGGAAACATTATAAATATATATATTTATATAAAGATCTACCTACTCTTGGAATTTATTTTAAAAATAATTTTAAAAATCACTGTGCAGTTTATATCTTCGCAGGAAGTCGGTAGACTGATTCCTGTGCTAAATGCAGTACCTTATGACCTAACACTGACCTCAAAAACTAGGAATGACTTTGTGGTATCAAGGGGAAATGTCCCCAAACAACCTCAAAGACACAGCACAACATTTGCAACTGTTTCTCTTACAGCCCAAGGTTGCAAAGGACATAAGAAATCTCTGTAGCTCTGATGAGAAGGATTCCCTATAAATCATTTATTCACAACGATTTCCCCACAGTGGCCAAGTAGGTCCCCTAAAGAAAGAAAGTTTAAAGAGTTCCCTCAAAATAGCTCAGAAATTAAACAATGGCCCAATTCATGTGGCTACTTCTGTCTTCCAAGTTTTACCTTTAAGAGTCTCTGTTAAAAAAAAAAAAAAAATCCCAAAGCTATAAAAATCCCAAAGTATATCACTGGGATTGGCTGCATTTTCTGTTCAGCAGGTGATGGACCATTCTAAACTTCCACTGAGTTTTATGTCGACTGATGCAACTGAGAGCTGTTAGAAATTCGGGAGGACGGTGAGGGATTTCAGAATGCGCTAGCTGCAAAATACACCCAGCCTGGTGATATTTATGCCCAGAGAGAAGAAAGAACAGACAGCTGACAAAGGATGTCTCCCTCCACCTCCCCCTAACTTGCCCTCCTCTGCTGTCTTTCTCCTCTGTCAGCTGATTGGGAAATAACTGATCTTCAAGCACAGAGCCCAAGATACTGAACTCTAGGTGAAATGCATTGCAAGACCTGTGGTGAATCAACCACTCCTCAAAGGTGGGCTTCGGGCCAATTAAAGGCCGCTTGGGCAATGAGAGCAAAACTTCCCAACCACGGAGGATCACTGAGCATTGGCTGAAAGCAGGCATTGCCTCTTCATTATCTCATTAAACTCAGAAAGAAATCTCCATGCAAAGGGGTTTGCCAAAAAGACTTAAAACAAACAAACAAAAAGGTTTCTGTCTCCAGCCAGCAGCAAGCCCTGGTGAGACATCTTGCTAGGCAAAGAGTGAAATATCAATACATCTTTTTCGAGACCCAACATGTTTCATGCCCTCACCAGTGTTGTCTGAAGCACGTATCCTGTTGCCACTCTGCCCTGTGACTGGCTCACGGCAGGCGCTCAATGAATCAGCGCTGACTGGTGCACATCCCAGCGCGTGCCTAGAGGGATGTTGAGCAAGCCTGCTCCTCAAGACTGCACCTTTCTTAATAGTCAATGTAACTGGCCTCCCTTTCAGATGCCACACTTGGCACTAGCGATTACCACAAAATGAAAGAACTGATCAAAATAAAGTGCTATTTGCTCTGGAAGTTTCACTAACCAACTCCTGACTGCCTTTCAACACCTGTGACTTAATTCTTCATAATCCTGTCAAACACCTGTGATGGGCCTTTAGAAAATACATTAATACCAATTTGAACAGTGGAAAGTATGTTCTTCAGAACACAAGCCTCTAGAACAGAACTACAATTCCAGTTGTAGATAAAGATTCAGATTTTTAAAAAGACAATCAGGAACCCAGGACCTACCAAGTAGTTGTGTCAGAAAACATTAGCTTCTTTAAATTTGGGGGCCAGAGAGATCTGTCTAAACAACCCACAATCCCTTCCTTTACTGATCCTCCCTAAAAGCTGGATCCTTCTACAGAATCATTCCACACAAACCAACATTTGGACCAACTCTTAGCTGCTAACGTTGAACGTCTTTCCGTAGCTTGCCCAGAACACTCTTGTGGGCGTGAAAAAGATGCCACAGCTATCTGGATTGTGGAGCCAGGGGGTGATGCTGAAGCCACCAAATGTCATCCTCTGAATGTTCCAACACCTTCTGCAGGTCATCTTCCTTGCCTTAAACTGGCTTCACTGCCATCCCCACCCCCACCTGGTGGGTGAGGCTTCAGGAGCACCAGGCCAGGCTGGGGCTCTGGCAGGGTTTATGGTTCATCTTCAGGGAACCCCTGGGGGCGCTGATTCCGGGGTGGGGGACACCTGGCAAGGTATCGGGGACCCCCATAGGCCCGGAGAAGATGGGGCAGCCTTCGCCACGTGGACAGCAACCGTGCTGCTGCGAGTTCCCGGGCCTGCCGGTCGAAAGTGGCCAGGAGGTCAACCGGGGTGGCTTCACGCAGTACCTTGGGCAGTGGGCCCACCTCGGCGGCCGCCCCTCCAGGGCCCAGGAGGCAGTGGAAGAGTGTACGGCGTCGCAGCAGGCAATCCCTGAGGAACTGTACTAGCTCTTCCAAGCGCTCGCCCAGGTGCGCCTCGTCCCAGCCTTGTGCGGGAGCCCCCTGGCGTAGCAGCGCCGCCAGCAGCACTGTCTTGAGCACGTATGAGGATAGGATGCGTCCCCACTGGGTGGCGGCCGTCGGGTCCAGCCCGCGGGCGCCCAGGTCTCGCAGAGCTTTAAGCAACTGCAGGCACTTGAGGTAGCAGGCACCTGGAGGGGCCCTTTCCTGCAGCCAGCTCAGCAGCTTCTGCTCCTGGCGCGCCGTGTTCACACCCCACAGTGCATCGGCACGCAGGCCTCCCGGGAGCTCCGACAGGGGCCCGACGGGTGAGGGTGGCGGTGGTGGGGCCACCAGGAAGACGCTGTCGCCCAAGTGGACGGCAGGGATGAGACGCACGGCCATGGAAAGGCGGCAGCAGCCGTAATCGGTGCGGCAGGGGAGGACGTGTAGGGTAGGGGGCTGCTCCAGGCCGCCTGGGGTCAGGCTGACCCGACAACGCCCCTCCAGGCTGTAGCGCACGGTGGCCAGGGAGCGCTGCAGGTGCGACTGAAACCAGCGCAGTACCAGCGTAGCCGAGAGATGGCGCCGCCCGCGCACATCCACGCAGAAGCCGTCGGCGAAGGCTTTGGAGTCCCGGAGCCAGTGGCCCCCGGAAGCCCCTGGCGGCGCCTTCAGTGCGCACACGAAGCAGCCGTGGAAGGCTGGGGCCAGCGCGGGCTCCGCACCAAGGCTCCGCGGCTCCAGCGCCACCAGGGGAGGGAGGCGCAGCGGCACCAGCACGTCGAAGCCGTCGGGCCGGCGGATTTTATGCTGCTCGTAGGCACTGCCTACCTGGATGAAATCTCCGCGAAAGGCCAAGGCCAGCGCTCCCCCGGGGATGGGGCCTGGGGACCCTCGGGCGCGGCCAGCCCGCACCAGCTCGCCCACGATCCGGCTCACGTGTGCTTTGCTGTGGCCCAGCACGTGCGGCGACAGGCGCACCTCGTGCTCATAATAACTCTCCAGCAAGATGTCGAGGCTGGGCTCTCCTAAGTGTCTAGGAGAGAAGGCGGAGTGGCCCCCCAGGCGGGGAGACCCCGGCAGGAAGCGCTGCCGGACAGCGTGGCGACAGCGCAGGAGGATGTAGCCGAGGAGCAGCAGGACGGCCACCTTGAGCAGCGGGAAGCCGCCGTCCGCGCCTTCGGGGGGCTCGGTCCGGGCGTCCCCGCTTCCCCGCAGGACATGGTAGAGGCACACGAGGGCGGTGCACAGGCCAGTCACCAGGGGCCAGAAGACGCGCAGATTCAGGGTGTAGTGCACCGACATGCCGGGCGCCCGGGGCAGCGGCGGCCGAGCAGCCCAGGGCGCGGGCCCCGGCGGCGTCCCAGGCCCAGCATGCGCGCAGCGCCCGGGCAGCCCCGCTGTCCCGGTTCCCTTCGCCTCCGCGGCGGCGACCCCGTCGCAGGGCCGGGGAAAGCAGCCCTCCAGCTCGGCCTCCTCTCCCAGCTCAAGCGCTCCTTCCAGCAGCGGCCCGCCCTGCACGCTCCGGCTCCCAGCCGCGCCCCGTGCCGACTGCGCGCTGCGTCCGGCCCGGCGGCCCTGCCCGCCCCGCTCCCCGGCGCGCCGCCTTCGGCCAGCTTCTGGTCCCGCTGTGCTCGCCTCCTACCTCGGGCCGCCCTCCCGGCGCCGTGGGTCTCCGGAGTCCCCCGCTGCTCCCCTCCGCTCTTGTTCCCGTTACTCGGCCACGGGAGTTTCCTCTTCCGAGGGGAGGCGAAGCCGCGCCAGCTAGCGGGGAGGAAATGCCGAAGTCTGGAGCCGCGAGGCGAGCGGGCGGGCGGGGTCGGCCCCCTCCCGGGCCTCCGCCTTAAAGCGACGCGAGGCGGCGGGAGGGACTTCAGGACGCGCTGGCAACTGGCCTCCCGCGGGCCACCCCTATCCTCCCTCCCCGAAGGCAGAACCAGGAAGGCTCTGATTGCGGGGCGGTAGCCTTGTCCAGGGAGCTTCTGCAGTTGTATTCACACAAAGTTACACTGGGAAGTTGAAAGGAGGGAAAAAGAGCGCACGACGGAACCGTCCATCCCCCGCCCCCCCAGCAAGTCGTGGTGGCGTGGTGTTGGTGGCGTGGCAGGCCCTGGAACGGAAGCTGCCCTTGCCAGGGTGCCGCTGTCCTTCATTCAAACCAGTATCTACTGAGCACCTACTATGTGCCAGGCGCGAGACCAGGTGCTGGCGAAATAGCAGTTGACAAAATAGACAAGGCTTGTGCCCTCCGTAAGGCTTACTGCCTTTTGAGAAAAGGAAACCGAAAGACAAGGGATCCACAGCAGAAAATGCCCTGAAAGAAGCAAAACTGTGTGAGCGAGTGTGAAGGTAGGGGCTGCCCTGTGGAAGCCTGAGGCTCTCTGTGGGTCTGAGACCCACAGTTGGTCTGAGACCTGGATGAGGAGGATCCAGCCTTGAAGTAATAATCACAGCCTTTACAAAGGTCATACTGTGTGCCAGTACTGTGCTGATCACCTTACACATTCGCTCCCCAGTTCAACCTATGAAAGGGACACTATTACTCTCCCCATTTTTCAGATGAGGAAACTGAGGTGCAGGCAGGTTCACCCCTTGCCCAAAGTCACACAGCTTTTAGCAGAGCTGCGCCTTGAACACCTGTCTCCAGAGAAGCTGGGAGGCAGGACTCAGGGAAGGGGACTGGGGAGTCCCTTCCTCAACTGCTGAGAAGTGTCCTTTGTCAGGACCTACCCTGGGACCTCCGTCCGGGAAGCTTTGTTTTGTTTCATAACAGGGAGCGCTCCCTGAAATGATCGGCATTTATTTAATTATCCGAATTTATTTAAACAATTAACTGTACTTATTTACACTTCTTGCACCTTCCTTGCTCCCGGAGAGCAAGGGTAAATAGATTAAAAATGTCAGAACCCACATGCCATCTGGGAATCAGGACTCAGAGGATGCTCCTGGCTTAAGCACCAAGATTACTCCCAGGAAAGCCTCTCAGAGCTGAGCAGAAATGCTTTCAGATCCCCATTCCCACTACTATTAGCTGTGAGATCACGGTCTATTAGTCAGGGTTCTTTGGGTTGCAGGTGACGGAAACACAGCTTAGAAAGCATTTTATTGTCGTATTAACTGAGACGTCCACGGGGCTCCTGCTTCAGTATGGCTGGATCTAGGTACGCTCAATCCACTTCTTAGCTCTGCTTTCTTCTCAGTGCGCTGCGCTCTCTGCGAGGCTCTCTCCATAGGCCCCTGGCTGCTCTAGCCTTATGTTTTCCTCAATGAAGAGGAAAAGAGAGCTTCGGTTGCCTGAGAGTTGTAGCAAATGTCATGCCTAGGGATAACGTTGGGTCCTGCTCTCAAAGCGACCAAGTAAGAGAATGCACTGATGAGCCTGGCCTAGGGTGGTGTGTGGACTGAAATGTGTCCCCTCAAAATTCATATGTTGAAGCCCTTTTTTTCCCCAAATTAAGTTCATATTCACAGGTTTCAGGGGTTAGGATGTGGGCAAATATTTCTGGGGAGCCACCCTCAGTAGATGATGTACTGTATTGCCGTCACTATCTTTCCTGCCGGTAATCAGTTTCCGTAGCTCATTTCCTCCAGAGTTCAAGGCACAGGCCTCAGAACTTCGCTCTTGGAAAAATCTACTGTATGTTTCAGAGCAAGTACAAATTCATTTATTCATTAATTTATTACCCAACATACCATGTGCCAGGCAGAGGGGGATGTGACGGAAAAGAGGGGGCTCTACACTTATGGACTAAGACGCCACACAGTGTGGATGGAGTCAGAAAACTGCCACTGTTTCATTGACTTTTGATCATTATTTCATTAAAAATCTCCTTTAATGTTTAACAGTTGACAAAGGCCACTCCTGGGTTTTTTTTAACAGCTCAGCAAATGTATATACACACCCCTCCCAACATTTCTGATATCCTGGAGGTGTGTCCTGTGGAGGAAGAATGGCAAAATTGATGAGGGGAAAAGGGAACGAGGTGGTGACATTTCCCATGGGAGGCCCAGGGAAGGCTCCTGGGAGGGAACATCTGATCAGGCTTTGAAGGATGGGAAGGGACAGTGTGCTTGATAGCATGTCTGGTATTTCCACTGCAAACATTTTCATCACATAACTAATTGGCCTTAAGGCAATGTTGCTGTAAAAGATAAAATAATGAAAACCAAAAGAGGGGCATTAAAAAGGACATAATGAAACATGAGAAATGAATAACAAAATTAAAAAGACTTTATTGCAAAACGCAAAAATATTGAGTACATTTAAAATGTGTGTCAATTTATGGCAATACTGCACAGATAATTGATTTTATTTTGTAAGTTGTACCTAAGCAATTGTCTTTCAAGTCTTTTGTTTATAGTATTTTAGAGAGATTTTGCTTTTGACTCATCTCCCCATTCAGCTTTGCACTTTTTCTTTTTCTCTAAAATTTCTTCCATCCTTAAGAGGGGCATCAGCTTCCAAATACCGGGGTGCATATTTGCACCTGAGCTTTGTATCGAGTTGGGAAAACTGTTTGTTTTTGGCAGGTTGTCACACGTCTACTGATAGACGTTCCAAAGTTCTATGAAAGGTGTGGGTTCAACTCTGTACCTTCAAATCACTGAAGGATCTGCAAACTGATATGTTATCATTTTCTGGTACAGTATGTGCTCTGGCATACTGTCTTACTTCACACTTCCAGTAACTTTTATCATCATATTTTCTACCAAGTTCACGTATGTAGTCGTCATCATCCTCTATTTTAAGACTGCCACATCTACGCATCACTGTACAAACCATCATGAGGGCTGAGATTGATGGAATATTAAAATGAGAGTTCTGTGTCAGTGGAGAAATAAAACCAAACTGTCAACCAATTGAAAGCAAATTGTCACACCAAACTGTCATCCAGTTATTTTATCTCTTACAGCAAAATTGCCTCATGACCAATTAGTTACGCGGTGAAAATGCTTGTGGAAATGTCTGTGCGAAGATGCTTGAGGCGTGAGTCCCAGGAGCCCTTTGATAAATACCGTGTGCCTCCTGGACGCAGCTCTTCCCCTGTGGTGTCTCCTGAAATGCTCAGAACCAGGCCAGTGAGGGAGGTGCTGCTATCAATGCCATTCTACATACGGGCAAAGTGAGGCAGAGAGAGAGCAAGAAACTTACTCAGAGTCACACAGCTGGCAAGGCTGACTCCAGGGCTGGACTCTGAACCCCTCTGCTTCACTCCCTTTCACATTGTAAAGAGTTTTACAGGCACATCTCGTCTTATGGCACTTCGCTTTACTGTGCTTCATGGGTATTGCATTTATAACAAACTGAAGGTTTGTGGTCACCCTGTGAGCAAGTCTGTCGGCACCATTTTTTCCAACAGCATTTGCTCACTTCTGTCACATTTTGGTAATTATCACAATATTTCAAGTTTTTTAAAGTTTATTTATTTCTGGCTGTGTTGGGTCTTCATTGCTGTGCGCGGGCTTTCTCTAGTGGTGGTGAGCAGGGGCCACTCTTCGTTGCTGTGCACGGGCTTCTCATTGTGGTGGCTTCTCTTGTTGTGGAGCACAGGATCTAGGTTCACGGGCTTCAGTAGTTGTGGCTCATGGGCTCAGTAATTGTGGCTCATGGGCTCTAGAGCACAAGCTTAGTAGTCGTGGCACACGGGCTTAGTTTCTCCGCATCATTTGAGATCTTCCCGGACTAGGGCTTGAACCCATGTTCCCTTGCGTTGGCAGGCGGATTCTTAACCACTGTGCCACCAGGGAAGTCCCTAAACCTTTATTATTATTATATTTGTTATGGTGATCTGTGATCTTTTATTTATTTATTTTTTTTTTGCGCGGTACGCGGGCCTCTCAATGTTGTGGCCTCTCCCGTTGCGGGGCACAGGCTCGGGACGCGCAGGCTCAGCGGCCATGGCTCACGGGCCCAGCCGCTCCGTGGCATGTGGGATCTTCCCGGACCCGGGCACGAACCCGCGTCCCCTGCATCGGCAGGCGGACTCCCAACCCCTGCGCCACCAGGGAAGCCCTGATCCGTGATCTCTGATGTTACTTCTTTGACTCACTGAAGGCTCAGATGATGATTAGCATTTCTTAGCAATAAAATATTTTTAAATTTAGGTATGTACATTGTTTTTTTAGACATAATGCCGTTGCATACTTAATAGACTACAGTATCGTTTAAACATAATGTCTATGTGCACTGGGAGATAAAAAAATATTCGTGTGACTCACTTTATTGCGCTATTCACTTTATTACAGTGTTCTGGAACTGAACCTGCAGTCTCTCCGGGGTGTGCCCGTATAGGACAGAAAGAGCGCATTCTGGGAAGGCAGGTTAATTTACGTTTGTCTCTAGCTCCCTAACCAAGTGATGAGATTCTTGGGGGCAGGGACATATTCATCTCGGTATCCCCATCAGCCAACATCATGCCTGCTACTTTATAGAGCTTTATGGGAGGAAGGAAGGAAGGGAGGAGGGAAGGGAGGAGATTTTGACCAGCAGAAATTCAGGGAGGCCATTCCAGGTCATGGAAACAAAATGTGCAAATGCTCGAGGAGCATGTGAGAGCTGGGTGAACAGGACGTCAATGTTGTTACGAAGTCTGGTGTTTGTGAATGGACACTGTGGCATTCACTGGCCAGCCATTCCAGCCTTCTTCCAACAAGCCTTCCACAGGCAGCAGTGGGGCCAGAGGCAGCAGCTCCCTTAGTGACCCGGTTCTGCTGTGTGGCTTAGGAATCTTTTCTGGAAGTTGGGCTCAGAGCCCTTTCCTGCAGTTTTCCCAGTGGCTCTGAGAGTATCTGTGATAAATGATCTGTTGCCGTGTTTTAAACTCTCCTGTGTGTTCCACTGTGCTTGACTATTGCACAGCTGAT